GGAGGGGTGGCGACGAGATCTAGACGTATCCACCGCCCCTGGCCAGGCCCATCCTCGGCCCAGGAGCGACGTATGTATGTACGCATCCCTGGCTTGGCCAGGGAGAGGCACCTGCACCGCGCCCGGGCCCAAGAATGGCGCGGGGGGAAATGGAGCAGCACATGGCCTGCTCAGAAGGCGGCGGGACTTCTCAGAAGCCCTCGCGCCTTCCGAGAAGTTGTGTGTGTCTTCGGGGAAGGCTTGGGAGACTTCTCGGGAGGCCAGGGGGCCTCCGAGCCTTCTGAGAACGCCCGCCCCTGCTTACCTCCCCCCCTTGCCCACCGCCTGAAACCATCATCCTCGTCATAACCACCGTCACCGTCCTCACAATCACCACCGCCGCCGCGCGACGCCGACGCCGCCGTCGCCAGCGGCCGCCGTCGATGCCTTCGCCTTCGCCGCCGTGGCCGCCGTGGCCGCCGCCGCCGCCGTCGCCGTCGTCGTCGCCGTCGTCGTCGCCGTCGCCGTCGCCGTCGCCGTCGTCGTCGTCGCGCCACCGCCCTCACAGTCACCACCGCCGCCGCGCGACAGGCGGACTGCGCACCCCTCCTCGTGAAGCTGCACACGCCCGCCGGCGCGCCCGGCGCCGCGCACCCCGAGCTGCTGCTGCGGCCCCGTGGCCCGGCCGGCTCCGCGGACGCCGCGCGAGCCGAGCGCACCGAGCAGGCCCGACGACGACGCCGACGACGACGGCGTCGGCAACGGCGACGACGACGGCGACGGCCACGGCGACGGCCACGGCCACGGCCACGGCGGCCACGGCGGCGAAGGCGAAGGCATCGACGGCGGCCGCCGGCGACGGCGGCGTCGGCGTCGCGCGGCGGCGTCGTCGTCGGCGGCGGCGACGGCGGCGACGGCGGCGAGGACGGCGGCGGCGGCGGCGACGACGACGACGACGGCGACGGCGGCGGCGGCGGCGGCGGCGACGACGACGACGAAGACGATGAGGCCGATGCTGGCGGCTAGCATCTGCGGTCGCTCGCATCGACGGATGATGCGACGGCGACGACGGCGACGGTGGCGTCGTCGACGGCGGTGGCGCCCAGCGGCGGCGGCAGAGGACGCGGGCTCGAGGCGTCGCGACGGCGAGGAAGGTCGGAGCGCCGCAGGGTCGAAGCTCCGAGAGGGTCGAAGCGGCGTCGGAGGGTCGAAGCTCGTCGCGCGAGAGTCAAGGGGCAACGTCGGAGGGGGATAGGCTCAGCGCGGCAGGGGGGGGGGGCGTGTCGACCCCAACCGCCCATTCGTCACCGAGCAGGGGGGGCGGACGGCCCACCCTGCCCAGGGCCATGCGGGTCCGTGGTCGGAGTGGCCACTCGCCGGTCCCTCGGCGGTGCACTGCCGATTCTGGCTCGACGTGCCCCTCCCCCCACTGAGCCAGCGCCCCCCCCACCGAGGTCTCCCCCTCGGGGTGGAAGCATCGAGGATCGAAGCTCTGAGGAGGGTCGAGGCCCGACGGTGCGGGGGGTCGAAGCTCGACAAGCCTCCGGCAGCTCCTCTGCCTTCCGCGGGCCTCTCCACGGAGCCAGGCGGTGCGCCGCCGTGGGCTGCGGCGTCTCAGAGGCTTTTGGGCCCGTTTTGGAGGGCCTCGTCTGGGCAGGCTCGAGGAACGAGGATCGAGGGAGGCTCGAGCACTGGAGAGGCTCATGGACCCTGGGAGGCTCGAGTATCGAGGGTCCCGCGCTTGTCTGTTGCCCTCCCAGGGCCAGCAGAGAGACCAGAGACCCTTCGAGGGAAGGGGGGCGAAGTGGGAAGCGGGTACGGAGGGACAGGAGGGCAGAGGGACGGAGGGACGGAGGAGGCGGAGCAGCAGCAACAGCAGCAGCCAGATGGAGGAGAAGAGGGGGCGAGGAGCAGGAGGAGCAGCAGGAGGAGGACCAAGAACCATTTTTTGAAAACCAACCGCCCTCCATCCGTGAAGCTTCTGCTGTTTGTAATGACGAATATGCGCGGCGCTACGGCGAGAGCGGCATTGAGAAGACGGTCCGCCCTCCAAATGTGAAAGCCGTGCATCTTTGATTTTGCTGCACCCGCAAAAAATGCTCGCGGCGCTCGGGCGAGAGCCGCATTTTGAAAACAGACCGCCCTCTACCCGTGAACTTCTTGCAAAAGGTTAGGACGAGTGCGCGCGGCGCTACGGCGAGAGCCGCATTGTGAAAGCGATCCGCCCTCCATCCGTGAAGCTCTTGCAATAGTTTGCGACGGTTGTGCGCAGCGCTGGAGCAAGAGCCGCGTTTTGCAAACCACCCGCCCTCCATCCGTGAAATTGGTACAAAATCTGATCTTAAGGATCGTAAGTGGTGACGAAGTCTCAGGCGAAACGCCCGGCCCGCCGTTTCGACCAGCTTCGAGGTGCGACAAGAAGAAGCTGGTTGCAAGGAAGAGGGATGGAGGAGGATCCTCCTCCCCCCTCCTCCTCTCCCTCCTCCTCCTCCTCCTCCTCCGTAGCCATTTTGGCTCAAGATGTTGAGTTCCGCAGGGGAACAAGTGGATACCGCTAGTCCGCGGCAGTGCCAGGGCTGTTCAGCCCGACATCTTCTCTCGAGACCTGTACGGGGAGCTACGCGCTGCCGTCCAGAGTCCCAGCCCAGCCCGCCGCCATGTCGGATCGCAGGCGCGGAGGCGGCAAGTCCCCAGCTCCAAGGGTCTCCATCTCGTCCGACTACGTGGGATGCAAGAAGTGCGGTTACCGTTGGACCTACAAGACCAAGCAGTCCTGCTACAGCTGTGGGCAGGCCCTGCGACCATCGTACTCTCCTGCTCCCAAGCCCCGTGGCGTCTGGGCTAGCGGCAGCGGAGGCTGGTGGCAGGACAACCACAAAGGCGCCGACTGGTACCAGGAAGCCGAGGAGACCACGCAGAGGACCGAGCCGCTTGCGATCGGCGAGGTGGTGCAGACCCTCGGCGGGCAGGCCCTCTCCGAGGCCCAGAGGCAGGCGCTCCAGCAGCTCGAGAGCGCCTTCGCCCCGCCGGCCCCTGCAGAGCGCCCCGCGCTCCTGGAGGAGGGCATCCAGCGGGCGGCCGCGGCGGAGAGGGCTGCTCGTCGGGAGCTGGAGAAGCGTGCCAAGCAGCTGGCCGACGCCAAGCTCTGGCTCGACGAATGCCAGGCTCGATCCGATGCGGCAGCTGACGCCCTGGTGGGGGCTGAGGTCAAGCTGGCGCAGGAGAAGAAGGCGTTGGCGTCTCCAGGCAAGGACCCTCAGCCTGAGGGGACCAACAAGGGCGGCGGGGTCATCAACCTCTCTGCCTTGTTGGGCGAAGGAGAGGCCAGTTTTGTCATCGAGGACGGCCCCCTCTTCGACCTGGAGGGGCTGGATATCACATCCGAGCAGCGGCAGCAGTTCAACAAGCTCAAGCAGACCTTCGAGGCGTCGGTGCAGCAGGCGGTCCGCACGCACTTCGGGCCAGGGGCTGACGTCCTCAAGTCCCAGCGCGAGCAGCTCGAAGAGATCAGGATGCTCCGCGAGACCTTCAAGAAGCGCAGGCGGGAGCACCCCCCTGCGGCCGCGGCGGCAACAGAGGCGTCATCGCCCCAGACCCCCGAGGGGAGCCCGCCGCAGGCGCCTGCCCAGGCCAAGCGCGAGGACCCTCCTGCGGAGGCGGCGGCTGCAGAGGCGCCAGCGGCCCAGAGCCCCGAGGGGAGGCCCGCCGCAGGCGCCAGCCCAGGCCTCCCAGGAGGCCCAGCAGGCTGCCCAGCCCGCCGCGGAGCCGCAGGGTGCCCAGGGCGCTTCGCCTGGCGCTGCCAGCTCTGACGCTGGCCCTGACGCTGGTCGTGAAGCCGCTGGCAAGGAGCTGGCGGAGGCCTTGCAGCGCGCCAGGGCTCGCAGGGCGGAGGCAGTCGCCAAGCCAGTACCTCTTTAGCCCGCACGGGCTCGGCAGCCTGGCCTCCACGGCTGCAGGTACCAGTACGCAATGCTCTACATGGTCGGGTTCATGGCATGAGCCCAGCACGTCGCAGGAGCCAGAACCTTTCAGAGGGTCTCCTCCTGACGCAGTCAGTACATCATTCTCTACATGGTCAAGTTCACCGAAGGCGAGCCCTCCACGTCGTCGAGGCAAGGGCAGCACGCGCAACGTGGGGCTCGAGTTCATAGGCTTCAACTGTTCATCTTGGGCGCAGGCTATTGATGTCTTGGATGAGGCCGCTACAAGGAAGGTCGTGGGCCCCATGCATATCACGTTCCTTCAGGAGCATAGGCTGACCGCGCCCATTGCCAAGGACATCGAGGCGGCCAGCTTCAACAGGCACTACACGGCAGCACTGGTTCCAGCTGTCAGCGGCCCAGGCGGGCGGCCGACTAGTGGAGTTGGGTTCCTCGTGCCAAGGAATGTTGGCCTTACACATCTTGAAGGCATGAATACGTTTGATATCTCACCTCCTGGGTCGCCTGGCCGCGCGGCAGTGGGCTGGTGCTCTGCTGGACAGAAGGGTGGCCTCATGATTATCACGGCATACTTTTGGACACGGGAAGGTTGGACGATTCGAAATTTGTCAATTCTGGAGTCCACTGCAACGGTCATCAAGCAGCATGACATGCCGCGGGTATTCCAAGCAGACTTCAACGAGACGGGGGAGTCTTTACTCAAGACGGGTTGGTGCCAAGATGTGGGTGGAGTTGTGCGACTCCCTTCCACTACCACGCGTGCAGGAGTCGGCGGTGGCAGTATCATCGATTTCGTTGTGCTCGACGCCCGCATCCAGCATGCTTTCGGAGACACGGTAAAAGTATTAGACACCGCAGCCGCACCTCACTCGCCCGTTCGCCTAGTCATGCAGTCCAGGATGAGAGCAAAAGGCGGCTGGAGGCTTGCCAAGCCCAGACCTTTCCCACTGGAGAGGCCGTGCGGACACGTCCCGCAGCCTGCACAGTGGCCAGATTTCGATCATCAGGACGATTTAAATGGCACCCAGCTTGACCAGCTTTGGAAGCAGATTTCACACTGTGCTGAAACAGAGCTGGTGAATCTCCTGGGCGTGGAAGAACCCCAATCCTACCTCGGTCGGGGCGATCCTCCTCGGTGGACCTGGGCCCCCCTCGCTGGTCCTCAATCGCACGCACGCCCCAGGGGAACGCCTAGCTCCCGAGCTTGGCGGTGGGTCGCCGCACGAGCCAGTGATTTTATGTTCCCCGCACAAGCTGCCCAGCAGGAAGGTACCTGGACGCATGCACGCGCGCGACGAGCAAAGCTCGAGCGCCGCATCGAAGGAGGAAGGAGTCGGTTGGTTCACGACTTGGGGGAGGAGGCTGAGCACGTAATCGCCCAGTTTGAACGATACCGCGCCTTTTGCCTCGAGGGCCCAGCGCTCATGGAGCAGGCCCCCGAGATCATGGGTCTCCAGCGACGAGCTGTAGCCAACGCTCAGACCATCGAGCGGCAGCAGGCAGCCACACGGTCAAAAGAATGGCGAGAACGTTTGAAGACGGAATCGGCAGCAGGCTCTTCTTTCATCCACAGGATCAGCAAGTGGCGTACCCCTCCTCCCCCCGTCACGGGTTACTCCGTCTCCAACCTCGAGCTTGCTGATCCTCAGGAAGCGGCCGACAGGGCTGCGCAAGAGTGGTTTGACGCTTGGGGCTCCCATGGACAGGAAAGCACGGGTCCCTCAGACCGACCCTGGGAGGCCGCTCGTTTCGCCCATCCGTTGGTTCACCTGGACCGCCAGCTGTTTACCAAAATATGTTTGAGTTTTCCTGCCAGGACGGGAATAGGCTCCGACCACTGGCACCCACGCTGGTGGGCTTGGATTTCGGACGAAGGCAAAGACTGCCTCATTCAGCTAGTGATGTTTATCTCTCGCACGGCACAGTTCCCATCGCAGGTAAGGTACATCATATACTTCCTACTTTCGAAGGAGTCGGGAGGCACACGGCCGATTGGGCTCCTCCCCTCCCTCATGCGTGTAGTAGAACGAGCTCACTCTGGCCTCTTTCACGACTGGGAGCGCTCTGCCAAGCGCAAATATGATTTCGGGGGCCCTGGAGGGGGCTCCGAAGAGGCAGCATGGCACCAGATGGTGCACGATGAGGGGACGCGTGAGGGGGAGGTGTCGGTGACGGGGGTGCTGGATCCGTCGCGTGCTTTTGAACATGTAACCATGACTGCCCTGTGGGTCGTAGCCCCTCTTTGCGGCTTCCCACAGCAGCTAGCCAAGCTTCTCATCAGCATCTACACGTCCACCAGGCTGGTTGCCTTTCGAGGGGTCCTAGCCAAGAAGTCGATTCAAACTTTTTCGGCCGTTGTGGCTGGCTCGATCGGTGGCACCAGGGCACTCAAGATGGTGGTGCTGCAGGTCACAGATGCAATACATCAAGCCTGGGGGGCTCGCCTCCAGATGAAATTATTCGTCGACGATCTCAGTATTCAGGTCCGAGGAGCGTTGCGATGTCTCAATGTTCTGCAGGCTGCTGTCACGTTCTATATCCGTGAGATTGAAGGCACCTGGCGCATCCCTGTCTCCCGTGGTGCCCGCGGCAAAGGGTACATCCTCGTCGCCTCGGCCTCGGCTCGGAATCGCCGCGCTGCTTGGGCCAAAGACCTGGGTCTTGCCATCACCGACACCAGCTCGCAGCTGGGAGTGGACAGCGCTGGAGGCGCCGTAGTTCGCAAAAGAAAGAAAATGCAGAAGCGATTTAAATACGCATGCCAGCGCAAGTCAAAATTAAAAGCCCTCTCAAAGCAAGGGGCCCGCCTCGCCAGGGTTGTCCGCCAAGGGGTGATCCCGTCCGTGACCTACGGGTCGAGCTGTTTAGGAGTCTCGCCTGTTTCTCTGAACAGAATGCGTGTCATGGTCTCGGGCAGCCTGGGTGGTAGTGCGATTGGTCGAGACAGAGTCCTCCGACTCTGGACGTATCAAGTTGATCCTGTGGTCGAGGGATCGCAGAGGCCGCTATGCATGTGGGCCACGCAGGCCTGGAATGGAGTGCATCAGGTAGACATGGCCAGGGCCTGGCGCAGGGAAATGTCACGCGAAGCGGCCAGACGGAGTCGGACGCTAGATCGCCCCTGGAGCCAAGTTCGAGGGCCAGCTTCTGCTTGTAATCTTACGCTGCAGAGGCTGGGCTGGTCCTGGCCTAGCTGGCACACCATCCGCATTCACACTGGTGAAATGTTTGACATGCGCCGATCGGCGCCCAGCACGCTGCGCAAGTATATTTACCTTCGTTTAGAGGATCAAGAGCTCACCGACTGGGCAACGCATCGAGGCATGCCCTTTCGGAAGCCCTTCCTCGAGCCTTGTCGCGCAGCAGTCAGGACAAAAAAGAAAAAGGGCCAGAAGCAGTCGGCTATGCTAGCTTTCCTGTGCAGCGATTTTTGGACGCAAGATAAAGTGTGGAGAGCAGGCCACTCGGAAGATCGAAGTTGTCAAAAGTGCGGGCACGCCATCGGAAATCAGCACCATAGATACTGTAGGTGTCCAGCTTTTCAGGAGCAGCGCCAGGCTGCAGGTGAATCTTATCCTGATATAATCCACCGTGCCTCCTCCTCGTGCTCCTCCTCCCGTCTCTTCTCCAGGGCTCTCGCGCCTCACCCACTGGGGGGCCCCTTCCAGGACGTCACGCCCAGCATTGAGACCCTGGACCCCGAGTACGGGGACGATCCCCTTCTCTCGGGCCTGGCCTATTCGGATGGGTCGGGGGTCGGGGTCTCTGGGTTGAAAACGTTCGGTTGGGGCCTCTGCTTTGTTGACCAGTACGGTAATGTACGCAAAGCGATGCATGGCACGGTGCCAGGAGTAAGGCAGGCACAAAGTGTGCTTAGAGCTGAATTGTATGGTTTCTTGAATGTTCTTCGCCACGGCACAGCCCCTCTGCAGGTAGGGATCGATAATTCCACAGTCGTTCGGGGCTTCAGGCGAGGCCCAGTTTGGTGCCGCCAAGCCAGGCGACCGCATGCCGATTTATGGCACATGATTTGGAATGCGATTGAGGATTCGTTCTCGGGGGAGGGGGACCTCGTCGTCGTCAAGGTCAAAGCGCATTCCAAAAAGGCTCAGGCCCAGCAGCTCGAGGGACTCGAGCTGTGCAACTACCTAGGGAATCAATGCGCCGACCTTCAAGCGAAGGAGGGAGCCAAGCTAGACGCCATCCCGCCTCACACTCGTGACACGTGGGTGTCTAGGTTCAAGGAGGTTTGTGCTGTTCTCGGGCTCGTCGGTGACATGACTTGTAAGATAGGCACGTTTGACGACACCACAGGCCGTCTCCAGAATGCCCCCCAGCCCCCTGGCCCTCGGCCGCGCCGTTCGGTGCTGCCTCCTCCAGAGTCTCGGCACGTCCTGGAGTGGGATAGGGGGTCTTGGAGGTGTGCTTGTTGTGCTAGACGGGCCCACAGCTATAAGGCCAAGCTGGTGTTGTCTCGTAAGTTTTGCAGGAAGGGTTTCTCCTCCCACGGTAAGTGGAAGAAGATAGCGCGTGTCGACGGGGCTCCTTTGCAGGGGCCAAGGCGACACAAGCTGTCTCGAATAGGCCACTATACCTTCTGTCGAGAGTGCGGCGCCTTTTTGAGCGCCAGGGCTTGTGGGTTACTTGCTGGATGTCCTAAGGACCCGAAGGACCACAACGCCAAGACTCGACGAAATCGTTTGCTGGCAGGTAAGCATCCGTATAAGAATGAGAGACTGCCTGGAGAGGTGGTCGCGCTGTCAAGAACCCAGGAATTGGATTTTCTGGAGTCGATTGGGATTGCTGCCAGGGCCTCTGCCGCTGGAAGCGGCGTGGAGGCACTTTCTTCCTCCGCCGCTTCAGGCGGTGTGGAGGTCTAACCAGGTCTGTCGCAGGTGGACGCGAGGTGCTCGCCCACGCTGTGCTCGCGGGAAACCTCCTCCTCCTCCTCCTCCTCCTCCTCCTCCTCCTCCTCCTCCTCCTCCTCCTCCTCCTCCTCCTCCTCCTCCTCTCCGCCTGCCTCCTCTCCCAGCCGGCCTCCCAGCCTGCCTGCCTCTCGGCCGCGAGGCCCCGAGTTCCGCGTGGCAGGGGCTCCCGATGGGCCGGGTGCACGACGCGAGGGAGCCGCTGCCCGGCCAGCCGCAGAACCCGTCCTGCTCCAACCCGCTCTACCCGAGGCTCCCGAAGAGCTCCACGGTCCTCAGGGCGCGCGTCAGCCCAAGCGTGTGCGTGTTCGCCCCGCTCGGCTCCGCCGATGGCGCGCGGCCCGTGTCGGCCCCCGCGGCGCCGCCTGCGTCGTGCTGGAAGGTCCTCAGTGTCGGCGGCGGGCGAGGGGGGGAATCGAGAAGGAGACGGCCTTCTCAGAAGGCGGCGGGACTTCTCAGAAGCCCTCGCGCCTTCTCAGAAGTTGTTTCTGTCTTCGGGGAAGGCTTAGAAAACTTCTCAGAAGTCCGGGGGACTTCCGAGCCTTCTGAGAAGGCACGCCCCTTCTCATTTCCCCCCCTGGCTCGCCGCCTACAGTGGGCAAGCACACGTTGGCGCCAACACGCGTTCTGGGGATCATCGAAGGGCGCAGAACCGCCGCGCACCTGGCCCCGTCTGGCCCGCGCGCGCACTCGCGGTCGGGACGGAAGCATGACGGAAGGTTGTTTTACAGTTTTCCGCCGCCGGGGACCTTCGCCGGGCCACGAGAACATCCCAAACGACTCGAGGTGAAAAAAATGTCCTTGGGAAAATGTCCAGACCTCCGGGGGCCCATTGAACGACGCGAAAGTTCTGGGGAGAGAGGGGCAGAGAAGAGAACCAAGTATTTAAAGACGATTCAGCGGGCATGGAAACTTGTTTTTCGTCATGATCCTTCTCATCATCATCCTCATCATCATCATCATCATCATCATCATCATCATCATCATCATCATCAGCATCGTCATCGTCATCGTCATCATCATCATCATCATCATCATCATCATCATCATCATCATCATCATCATCATCATCTCTTCCTCCTCCTTCTCCTCCTCTTCCTCATCCTCCTCCTCCAGGAGCTGTCTGGGCCCAGAACCCGAGCGAGCTCCCACCGTGCCTATGGGCATCACGACACAGGGCGGCACGCGAGGGACAGGTCCGACTCGGGACAGGCGTACCGAATCACACACTCTCCCCTCACCACACTCGTTAATTTCGCAATGAAGCTTATCTTTCACAACGTCCAGTGGGCCGATTTCTCGAGACTGGAAGAGATACCGATACAGACGAAGAACAGTGACATCGTAGTGTGTCTAGGCACGAGCAAATGGGCAGAGAGCGACGACGCGACGGCCACGCAGTGTCAAGTACCAAAGCACAAATGTGTACAAACTGGATGGAAGAAGTCAAGAACTACAAACAACTCGTGCGGCCTGGCGATCATGTACGGCAAGCGTATGTCTGGCACGTTGCTGCAGGTTCCCCTGCAGCCAGCCAGCTTGGGCTTCACAGGTCGCACGGGCATGGCGCGTTTTGCAATGAATGGAGTATCACTGGCGATTGTTCTTATCTCCACACCGCCCGAAGGCATGGGCGCGCATACTTTGTGGCGAGTGACCAAGAATATCCCACGTTGGATATCTGAAGAAATTGATAAATTGAGACACGCGTGGATTCCACTGGTAGTAATTAGGTGGCTGCATTTGTGGCTTTGGCATATAAGCAGAAGACTGGCCAGGGATTCGTCACGCACGACAGCGAAGAAGTAAAGGGCACGGCGGCGGCAACATTGAAATCGCAGGTATCAAAGATGGCCAGAGAAATTTTGCATGACAACTACCTCAGCATGTACGTTACATGTTGGAAGACGGACCCCGATTATTTACAGGGCCAGAATAGCAGCAAGATTGACCACATAGCGGGGCCAGCCAGCATGCGAGAAAATATACAAAGACTCAACACATTGCTTGGACTGGGCAGGAGATTGCAGAGATACGTGCGCACAGACTCACATGATCATGTACCAGTGCCCGTTGAGGTTGACATACGACCGCAGACGGCATTCACTGGAAAGTATACCCCACCAGCCAAACGTGACGCAATGATGGCAGCATACAGCACAGGTGTTGGACGGACCGGGTGTCTTAAAGCTCTGGCGTTAGAGACGCCGAGCATACCAGAGCACGAGTGGAAGGAGACCTGGGACCAGGGAAACGCGCAGAAGGCGTGGAGCTAATTTTCAGGGAGCACTCGTGCAGCAGTGACGAGGGGGGAGGGGGAATATTAGAAATGAGCGCATCGCAGAACACGATCAGCACAGGCAACGTATAGTTGAACTCCTTGAACTACAAGGACGGCCACGAAAACAAATACATGCGACGGGGAACAAGAGTTTCCAAGGGGACGGATCGACCATATTTGAGGAGACGGGGGACGAGCTCAAGAGGCCATCGCGGAAATTATTTGCACTGCGCAGATCACGAAAGCAAGAGAAGATCGAGGAATTGTGTGAAGAAATGCGACAGACATGGAAGCACGGACGACACGCAGAGGCACACATGATGAGAGTCAGATTAGTTGGAGGAGGACGTGGACCAAAGAAACGTTTCTTATTCTCGCCGAAACAAGAAATGGCACTGCAGGAGTGGAAGGACGGACTCGGCCAAGCACCAGAAATAGAGGCATGTATTGCAGACAACTGAATTGGGAAGCATGGGTAAACGACACAGCCTGTTTGACCACACTTGTAAGGTGCATCGGAGTTGGCCGAGTTGATACGGCAAGATCGAGCAGAGCAGATCACCCATGTCAAAAAGGCGCCCAAAAGAAGAGCTGGGCCCGCATGGGGCGAATTGGCGGAGGCACTGTGCGTGGGCATAGACAGGATGCGGCACGCGAATCAACGTGACAAATTTGCGCCAGCAGTTTTCTCTAGGCGACACACTGATCTGCTGGCGCTCATCAGTTTGACAGGCCCGTTCCCGCTCACAGCCATCAGATCGCAGGCTTACGCCGCGCCCGAGAATAATTAATCCCCAACAGGGGATCGAGGGTCAAAGAGTACCCCACGATTTTGACTCGTTTGGAATGTCGCAGTTCGGCCACCTTCAGAGGACTTCCAGGAGGCGGAGCGCGCCAGACTTCGCACACGGGGGGTCACGAGGACGGCGACGAGAGGGGGGGGGGCAGACTTAGCATAGCAGCAGCTTGTCGGGGATGCCGCGCAACACATATAAGCCACAGCATGTCCAAGTACGACGGCGCGAAGGCATCCGCTTGCACATCACGAGACAAACTAGAAGCACAACATCATGCATACAGTAGGGCCAGGAACACGCACCTCATGATACAGGCAGTGGATCTGGCCACGACCCACACCAGCGCGATAGACGGCGAGGCTGACTTTTTGCCGCAGCATGGTGCGACCATGGGCCAATCGCTGGCAGCAGCAGGCTGTTTCATTCACATCTGCCCCCCAGCAGTCAAAGAATGGAACGAACAATTTAGTCGCGCAGACGATGCGCACAAGCTGCTCAGAGGAGAGTCCCCGGTCAGCAGGGACCGTGGACATGGGGGTCGGTTTGTTCGTAGACGACGCGCCACGAGCACATGTTCACGCACGCGCACCGCGAGCCAAGCGCATTGCACAACAGTTGAATCACACCGCGGACACGCTGCAGCAGCACATCCACGGGAACGGGCACCACCTGAACGCAGAGAAGACGAATCACGCGATTGCACTTGCAGGCACGGGCCCTTATGAAGCGGCACGGGAAGTGGGGCGCCAGGGTAAAGTAAAGGGGGCAATATTCCGGGAAGCACGGGCCCCGGGCCCGACCATCAGTCTCGATGGAGCACTGCGCGCGGTCTTAAGAACCGCATCAGAGGAGCACGTGTAGCATGGCGTTCAATAGGTCAGGCATGGCACATGCACCTCCCGAGCAAGCTGCGCCGCGTGCTTGTCCTTTGCTTCGTGCGCAGCGCGGCGATCACTGGCCTCACCGCGTTTGCAATGCCGAAGGAATCCACGGACGAGCTGGACTCGGCGCCGGCTCGGCTGCTCGGCTGTCTCACGAAAGGCAACGCGGCAAGAGAACATGCTGACGGACGAACAAGGTGCATCCCCAACGGTGAAGTATTTGAATATTGGAATATCAGCCGCACAGACATAGAGCTGAGGACCCAGCGGCTTCGCTGGCGGCAGCGCATCTCGAGCGGACCCGAGGATCACCGACAAGTGCTCGCTGCCAAGTCCGGGACAACAGAGCTCGACATGCAGCTGGGCAAGCGCAGGCTCCACGCTGCGGGCGCGCTGACAGAGCACGGCGCGCCCCGGCCAGGACAGTGCCAAGAGGGCACGCAGAACGCAGCGCACTTAGAGCTCCTTCGCAGAGGCATGGACTGACAAAGACACGTGCTGCAGCCGTTCCAGGACCCCGTCAGCAGGAAGAGCTTCTGCAAGGTCAAGGTGGACTCCATGGGGTCCCGACTGTGCGCCAGCATCAACAACAGATGGAAACAGGCACCGAAACAATTCGGGCTTTAGGGGGCATCGGAGGAGGAGGCCATCAGGATGGCGGTTCTGGAGGCACAGAGCGACGCAAAAAGCCACAGCAGCAACGATCACGAGCACATATGCACGCGCGAAAAACGAAGATGGCACGACGTGTACAAGCACGCACAAAACATGAAAGCGCTCACGGCGCAAGTCACGCACGCCCAACAGATGAGGAACATCGACTCGCTAATCGCGACCACTAACGCGTGCCCGTGGTGCCGCGCGGCCTTCGCCAGCCGCGACTCGCGTCTACGTCGCGTTCGCGCAATGTCACAACGCAGCCAGCGTTCTTGCCCTACACGCATTACGTCTCTGTCATGTCGGCTCGAAGTACATCCTGCGCACTGCTGCGGCGTCTGCGGCCAAGAGGACACCGTGCGACGGCATCACCTGGACCGCGCGCGACAGCGCGCACCTGGGCCTGACAAGCCCGACCACCAGCAGACCGAGGAAGCCGACGCGGAGGGCACCCATCGCAGCAAAAGGCGGCAAGGACGGAGACGATGGAGGTGGACGCGGACGCAGCACAGCGCCCACTCAAGCACGCAGGCGGCAAGGCGAAGAAAGGCAACGACAAACCAGCTGGATCCGCCAGCGAGGGAACAAGGACGACGAGATGGTGTCCACCGAGAAATGTGCCTCAACAGCGCGCAGATCATACGGCAACTCTCGGGCTGCTTGTGGGACTTCCACCTGATAGAGGGCGATCGCACACCGTCAGAAGCAGGGGCGCAGGACGGACAAGAGTACGCAGGCAAAGTGAAGAACGGCATGGCGAACATGGGATCGCCCCGTGCGCACATCGGAGCAACGTTCTTCGACGAGCTGGCAAACCTGACCACCGCGCCGCAGCCGCATCAAGAGACCCTGGCGCACTTCGCCATGGTGCCTGGAGCGATTCATCCGGTTATTTTCGGAGACATCCTGCCACGCCTCTAGGTGAAGAAAGCGCACGCAGAACCAGGGGGGCAACCGTATGGAAAGCCTACATCATGTTCAACGCGCTGGCGACGAGACCATGGACGAGCGATCACGAGGACAAGATCAACCAGATGCGGGAGGAGCAGGGCAAGAATCGCATCAGGCTGCAGCAGATCCAGATCTACCCCCTCCGCACGGCACTACCTCAGCTCCGCAGGCTCGCTGCACCAGGCAGCGTCAGAGCGGCAGAGCTTCCCCAGAGACTTGGCAAGTGAGTTGTTGGGTGGTGGGCGAGGGGTGGGGGGGGGATCGGGCTCCACTGTGGCGCGCCACTGCCTAGCCTCAGCAGTTGCCATTTTTGGTTGTCTGGAGGCAGCAGGTGGAGAATGCGTGGTCCAGCAGGCTCGGACGAGCGCCTCTCTTGCGAATGGGCGAACTAGAGTAGTAGGTGCACAGCAGACTGGGGCAGTGCAGAAGGCTTGTGGGGGGGAGTGGTGCGTGGTGGGGAGCATCGGTTGTGGGGGGCGTGTCTCCTTACGAATACAGTTACGCGTAGAGGCGATAGGCACACGCCGGAGCGAGTATCGTACCCCTCCCGAGTGCGGTGGGGATGGGCCCAAAGCGCCATAAATCACCGCCCTGGATTGAGAGCGTTTTTGCTTGACGAGGCGGTTCGGCCAAGTGCCGACGTGGGCCCAAGGCCGTTTCAGCCGTCAGGGGCCCACAGGCCCCCCAAGTGTCAGCCTTTAAACCAGCCAGCAGCCACAGCGTTCGTCAGTTAGGCGGGCCACGAGCGATCGGCCTCCGAGAGCACACGCTACCGAGGCATCCAATTTCTCCTCCTCCTCCTCCTCATCATCATCCTCCTCCTCCTCCTCCTCTTCCTCCTCTTCCTCCTCCTCCTCCTCCTCCTCCTCCTCCTCCTCCTCCTCCTCCCCCTCCTCCTCCTCCTCCTCCTCCTCCTCCTCCTCCTCCTCCTCCTCCTCCTCCTCCTCCTCCTCCTCCTCCTCCTCCTCCTCCTCCTCCTCCTCCTCCTCCTCATCTCATCATTATCACCCGCATCAGCATCATCATCGTCATTGGGCCATCGTCATCGTCACCGTCACCGTTACCATCAGCATCATCATTCATCAGCATCGGCATCACCATCACCCTTGTCATCGTCATCAGCATCATACTAATCATGATACTCGGCATTAACATCAGCATCGTCATCATCAGCACCACCATAATCGCCACCATCACCATCACAATCATCATCCTCGTCAGCAGCATCGCCAGCATCATCAGCATCATCATTATCGTTATCGGCATCGTCATCGTCGTCATCCTTACCATCATCATCCACAGCATCACCATCAGCAACAACATAATCGTCCCCATCTTCACCGTCAGCATCATCAGCAACATCATCCTCAGCACCATCATCAGTAGCATCAGCATCATCATTAGCATTAGCATCATCATCATCATCAGCACCATCACCATAAGCATCATCATTTCTATCCTCATATCTTCATCGTCCTTACCCTTCCCTTCCCCCTTTTTCTCATCATCTCCCTCTGCATGCTCCTTTCTCTCCCTTCCCCTGCGCCTCCTCCTCCTCTCTCCTCCTCCTCCTCCTCCTCCTCCTCCTCCTCCTCCTCCTCCTCCTCCTCCTCCTCTTCGTTCTCCTCCTCCGTCTTCTCCTCCTCTCATCGTTGTCATCATCATCAGCTGCATCCTTAGCATAAGCATCACTATTTTTATTATTATCATCATCATCATCATCATCATCATCATCATCATCATCATCATCATCATCATCATCATCGTCATCGTCATCGTCATCAGCAGCAGCAGCAGCATCCTCATCGTGCCCCTCCCCCTTTTTCTCATCATCTCCCTCTGCATGCTCCTCCCTCTCCCTCCCCCTGCGCCTCCTCCTCCCCTCCCTCATCCCTCTTCCTCTCCTCTCCTCCCTCCTATGGGGGTCCGCCTGCCCTGGCGTTCGTGCCTTTTCGGTTTTGACGATTCAATCGAACGTTTGTGAGGGGCCGGGTCACGGTTCCGTCAGTTTTTCCGAGCTTTCATTCGGGGATGTCCCTCTACAGGAGACAGATTAAAAAATAGTCAAAACATGTTATGGGAACGATTTGTTCTACTATATTTGAATATGTTTGGAGAAGGGTTGGCTATGTTTTGCTGTTCTTCCAAAACCCGCCTGTAGGAGGACATGCCCAAACTAACCCGAGCTATCTCTTTCTCATGCACCCCGCTTGCCGGCTCCCTGGGCCACGCCCGCATTGCCCCTGCCCCTCCCCCTCTCCCGCCGCCTTCACAAACAGCGCTGGGGCGAGAAGGCGTGCAAGTGTGTTCCGACGTGCGTGAAGTTCAGATGTCCTTTCGGGCCTCGCCACGCCACCCCTCTCTCCATCAAAGCAAGTCAAGTCGCCATAATCAAAAGAAAGACTGTCTCCTTGCCTCGCCGACGGAATGTCAAAGCGCAGAATCGAGCAGGCGGGCAGTTTTCTCGTCCGCCTCCTGCTTCTCCTCCACCTCAGCCTCCGTGTCCTGTTCCATATCCTTCATCGCCGCCTCTTCGTCGTCCTTCTCCTCCTTTGCCGCCTCCTCCATCATAGCTGTTATCAGTCATTACGATTATCACTCATGCAGTGCATCCTTCTCCGCCTTCTCCTGTGCCTCCTCCTCCTCCTCCTCCTCCTCCTCCTCCTCCTCCTCCTCCCTCCTCCTCCTCCTCCTCCTCCTCCTCCTCCTCCTCCTCCTCCTCCCCTCCACCCTCCACCCTCCTCCCCCCTCCCTCCTCCTCCTCCTCCTCCTCCTCCTCCTCCTCCTCCTCCTCCTCCTCCTCCTCCTCCTCCTCCTCCTCCACCCTCCACCCTCCTCCCTCCTCCCTCCTCCCTCCTCCCTCCACCTGGGGTCGATGCAGAAGTGCTTGGCGGGTCCCTCGTGGCAGTGCGGCGTGCTGCGTGGGCGGAGGAGGATGGGACGAGGGCGTGCGTGCTTGGAGGATGTACAAGGCAACTGCACGACCGTGCGCATGGATGGGAAGAGGGAGGGAGGAGGGAAGTGGGGCGGGGGCTGGGGCGAGGATTCCGTTCCAGAACGCTCTGAGAAAGCCACGGCGGCCGAGACATCCTCCAGAGCCGCCGGATCTCAGAGAGTCTCGATGTATCCTCGCGCGCTGTTGTCCTCGCCCTGGCTCCGTCTCAGGAAGAGGAGGCCGGTCGGGAGCCGAGCGGGCCGAGGTTCGCAGCGGGCCGAGGGGCCAGCGCGTGCGAAGAGGGAGGCCTGGCTGGCAGGGTGGCGAGCTCCCCGAGGCGAGCCCGCGGTCCTCGGCGGGGCGAGTGGTGACATTCATATCCCGTCCCACGAGGGTGGCATTTATATCTCGACAGCCGTCCCATGTACAGTCAGCCCGCAAAGTAAGGATGGGCAACCTTCCCAGGGGTATCCTTGGGTATCCTTGCATCCTTGCCTCTTCGGTCCATCCTCGGCCACTTTCGTTGGCCGCGCCCCGCTCGGAAAGCTTCGAACTGGGCGCCCAAGTCCCTTGCAGCCTTATCGCGCATCCTTATGATACGGGCCGACTGTCTATCCCGCACCCTGTGACCAGGTGGGCTGACCAGCTTCCGCAGAGCCCTCAGGGCACGCAGTCACGCACGCGCGTGGGTCGTGGGGGGGGGAGTTCGATCGGTGTTTGCACCGAACCGCCCAAAACGGATGCCCCCCAGTCGCCGGCAGCTCCCGATAGTTGCCGACTGGTGGAGCATGCGGGGGGCATCTGTTTGCGGCAGTTCGGTGCACCAACGGATCGAACTCACGCGCGCTTTCAGGCTCACCCCCCCTTCGGTGGATCCCGGCTGCCTCACGGAGCGGAGGAGGAGGGCGGACGGAGGAGGTGGTGGTCGAGGCGCCCCATGCGTCCGTCGGAGGTTCGTATTGCTGGCGCAGTACTTGGTCCAGCTTGGCGCCAGCCTCAGCCCGCGCGCACCCTTGCGCGGCTGCCCAGCCCCATCCCGGAGGATGATAGAGTTCAGTCGGGCATGTCCATGTCCCCCGCCACAGGAGGAAGTCTCGAGAACAGTGTAAAAGATAGTCTGGTGACGATGTGTCTTGCTCTTCTGACTGTGTTTGATTGTTTGGGCTGTGTGGAATGTTTCTTTCACAGAACCCGCCTGCAGGAGGACGTGCCCGACCTGAGGCCAGCCGGGACAGCGGCGGCCCTCCCCATGGCGTTTTGTCCCGTCCTCTCGGGGTCTCCCGGAGGTGTCTCTCGCGCCGCCCATGGCCGGGATCCGTCGAAGACGGGTCGGGGCTCAAGAGACGGGGGTCAGTGCAAACGGGGGTCAGCCAGAGCACCCGATCTTGCAGGATTTTGCAGGGCCAGGGTCGCATTGACCCGCGTTTGGGTGCGGGATCCTGCAGGATCTTGCAGGATCCTTCGCATTGACCCGGGTTTGGGTGCAGGATCTTGCAGAATTCTGCAAGGCCAGATTGGCCCGGGTCTGGATTGACCCGGGTCACAAGATCCCCGAGTCAGGATGGGCTCCAGGAGGGGTCGGAGGTTAAGTCGGGCACGTCCCTCTACAGGAGGAATATTGAAAGATAGTCAACAAATAGTCCTGGGACGATGTTTCTAGTATTTGTTGACCATTGTTCAGCATTTGTCGATTATGTCTTATTTGTCCTCTTCCAAAATCTGCCTGTAGGGGGACATGCCCGACCTAACTCCATAGGGCCCGAGATTGAGCGGAGCTGGGCCGGGCGAGAAGGGCGCGGTGTTATCTCGAGTGGCTCTCTTCGGGCACGGGAGGGCAGCAGGCCCATCACGGAACAGAGCTGCACCTTTTCGATCGCCGATCGGTGGCGGAAAACAGCATCAAGAAACATCGGTCCTCGCCGCAGTCATCATCCTCGTGGTCCTCTTTCTATATCACGGTCGCCTCCTCATCCTCAGGCCCTGGCAGCCACCAGCACGTCGGCCGATCGAGCGAGGGAGGGGCCCAGGACTGCGCAGCACCCAGCGGACGCAGTGTTACTCGGAGGCCAAAGGGCTGGCCTCAGGGGGAGGAGATCGAAGAAGAGAAAGCAGCATACAGTGGAGGCCCGTGCCAAGAAACACCCTGCTTGCCCCCAGGGTGCCCTGGGTTTCTTGGGTTTCGAGGGTTTCGGTGTGGCAAGCGTGACCTTGCCACACCAGAAATCAGTGGACGTCCTGGGGTCTCAGGGTTGAGTTTCTTGTGGAAGGTTTCTTGTGGACTGGCCTCCACTGTATGCATCAACGTCCAGAGGTGGTCCGCACGGATTTTCTGGGTCGGCGCTGGACCCCCTGGCGGCGTCTCCGACGCCGCCCTATGCACACTCCGCGCGCCAGGGATGGGGGCCCGGCGCCGATCCGAGAGATCCGTGCTCACCTGGAAACGTTGCTGGTGTTGCTTTTGTGTTTGCTCTAGTTATGCTGGTGCTGTTTTTCTTGCTCTAGAGGAGCTCAGGCAGAGGGGGAGCTGGTAGGCCTCGGGGCGTTGTCTCGGAAGCTCTGCGCAAGGCCCCAACAGCCCTCCCGAAAAAAGACGCCCGAAGCCTTGATCTCCTTCCATGGGATCCTCCTCCTCCTCCTCCTCCTCCTCCTCCTCCTCCTCCTCCTCCTCCCCCGTAGCCTTGTTTGGCTCAAGCTGCGCAGCTCGATCAGCACACCCGGCCCGAGATCGGGCGGCCCTGGCGGCGGACGGGAGCCATGTTCGGAAAGACAAGCCGTCCGATCACCACCCTGATGCTCCACAATGTGCCCCGGATGTACACTCAGGAGCAGCTTCTGAAGGAGATCGAGCACGCGTCGGGCAACAAGGTCGGCTTCAACTTTCTGTATCTGCCCTGGGACTCGCGCCTCGGCCGGAACGTGGGCTACGGGTTCCTGAACTGCTGCGACGCGGAGGGTGCGGAGTGGTGCCGTGCGTTCTTCAGCGAGTATTACTTCTGCAAGTCGGCGAAGCGCAAGCCGTGCGCGATATCCCCAGCCCACATCCAGGGAGTGGAGAGCAACCTGATTCACTTGGTCGACACGCTGGTGGGAGAGGGCGGCAAGAGCGCGCCGATCATCCTCTGGCAGGGGCAGAGTGTCCGGTTCCCGCAGGTCGTCGCCACCCTGCGGCAGCTCCTCGGCACGCCCGCGAGGCTCCCGGGGCCCAGCGGCAGTGCGGTCCAGCAGCCGGCCTTGGAGCGCGGGGCCAACGGGCCCGAGGTCAAGCAGTGGCGAAGCGTCCTGGCTCGCCTAGAGCCCTACCAAACAATGTTCTCAGAACCTTCTGTGGTATCCGCGAAATGTTCTTAGAACATGTCTGGCGGAGTCTGTCTTGCTTTATCACATCGGGTCTACGTTCTGAGAACCACGTTTTGGTTCTGAGAACATTTTGGGGGTTCTGAGCACATTTCGTGGTAGGGCTATAGGACTGCCGGGACGGCCGGTCCCTGCTCAACGAGGAGGGCCTTGAGGCGCGCAGGCCGCAGCCCGCGTCCGCGCCCGGTGCCTCGGGGAGGCCTCCGGCGGCGGCGCAGAGCCCGCCACCCAGCCGCAGCATTCGCGTGGCCGGCAGCGCGGAGGCGCTCGGCAGCGGCTCGCGCGGGCGCGCCGCGGGAGGCGGCAGCGACAGCGACGAGCACGAGGACGCCAGCTGCCTGCGGGCCGAGTTCTCGCTCGCAAGGCTCCCGTCGGGCATGTCCCTCTAATTACAGGAGGAATGATGTCCAAGAAGGGTTTTAAAAAATAGTCTGTGGACGGTGTTTCGACTGTTTTGGATTATGTTTGAATCTCTGTTGCTGTTGCTCCTTCTCCTTCGCCAACATCGACTCTAGGAGGACATGCCCGACCTCACGCAAGGCGCCTCGGGGCCCTCATGCTGGAGAGGCGCGCCGCGCTGCTGCGGGCCGCCCCCGCCGCAGGCCCGAGCACCGCGCCGTCGCCCGCCGAGCCGGCCGGCGGCGGCGGCGCCCCGCCGCGGGTGCCCGCCGGCTTCCGCCGCCCGCCAGGCCTGGAGCTGCCGCAGCGCCCGGTGCCCGTGGGCGGCGCGGCCGCGGGAGGCGGCAGCCCAGCGCGGACGCCGCCGTTGGCCGCTGTGGGGAGGCCGACGGTGACGGAGTCGGCCAAGGATCTCCATTCGCTGGCGTCCGAGAAGTTCTTCGACACGTGGTCCAGCGACTCTGGGTGGCTCGCCGGCGGCGTGGACGGCGCCAGCGTCGAGAAGTCCCCGGGTGTTTCGGGCAGGCTGGTTGCTACTCTCGACTTCGGCAGCCTGAAGGTATTTAGCCTGTGAGGGGTAGCCGTCGCCGAGCAACTCGGTCAATGGATCGAACGTAGCATCCTGGCGTTGGGCCCCCACGTCCTCCTAGTTACCACCGTTTTTTCCATAATTTGAATTTTTTCTTGTCCTTTGCGCGAGCCATATTGCCGTCTCGCCTCCCCGCCAATCTAATATTATACAGGGTCCAGGGGGTCGCTTCAGGCTTCCTGACGCGGAAGGCATTGTTGCCTCCTCATTGCCCCGCCGTTCTACTCTTATTCTGCGGGCTGGGCTGGAGAGAATTGTCCAGACAGTGTCGCTGTCCGCTGTTCTACGCTGCGGGGTCTGTCCAGAGATCTCCCGCTGCAGGAGCGCGTCTCCTGCAGGCCGGCGGACGGCGCCTCGAGCTCTCCTGTCTCTCCAGTGCCCCAGGCAGTGCTTGCCCTTGGGGGGTCCCACTTGTCCTCTAAGGAGCTGGGCCTGGCTGGCGATCTGGCCGGCTCGTCGACGCCCGTCGCCGCCCGCCGCCCGCCGCCCGTGTGGGCCTGGCTGGCGGCACAGCCCGCTCGTCGCCGCCCGTCGCAAACGCCCGTGGCCGCCGCATGTCGGTCGCAGTTTTGACTGTGCGAGCCTCGTAGACTCGCCCTTTGTGAATCACGGAGGGGGAAAAACACACAGACACAATGAATCGTCGATTCCCCCGGAAACATGGGACAATATGGGAACTGGGGGGGAGACAAAAACCCAGAAGATGGGGAAATATGGGGAATCTTGCTAGTTGTGTGTGTGTCTTTATTTGTGCGTCCCAGGGCCCCTTCAGTGAACAGGAGTTGCATAGGATCTACCCCCCCCGCCCTCCCCACAGGATTTTTCCGGCCAGCCTCGCGCACCGCAAGGCACGTATGGCTCTGCCCCACCATGTGTTTCTGAAGATGCACCCACACCATCCCAGGCCTGCCGGCCCCCCCCCCTCATTCTAGACAAGCAATCTTTTGCGCGCGCACTCGTTCATCAAGAAACAGTAGTGTTAAATAATCCCCTACAAACGAGTAACACTAAGTCCACACGCGCGCGGCGTTGCGCGCGCATGCAGAAATTGTTTAAAGCATCAGGTCACGTCATGATGTCAAGAGGAAGGCTCTCGAAAACACATGAATTACTCTGGCGAAGGACCCAACCAAATGCAGCTGTGAGCACCGCATTAGGGGTATCGATTCGGTGGAGCTCCCTGTGGTGCCACGAAACGTGAGGGGTGCGCCAACATAGGGCGGCACCGTGGAGCTCCCTATGGGGTCACGCAACGTGTGAGGGGTGTGCCGAAATGGGGCGGGGCCGCCATTATCGCCATTTTCGAAAGCGGCTGGGGGTTCAAGCGGAGCGACGTGCCGCGCGGACCTAAAGTAGACCTCGCCATCATTGGGGGGATGTGATTTGCGAAAATGTCGCCACTTCTGGGGGCTGCTGGGGGGTCCAGCAGAGCAACATCCCCGGCGGACCTAAATTTGACTTCGCCATCTTGGGGGGGGGGCGCGATCTGCGACATTGTCGCCATGTTCGAAGGCGGCTGGGGGCTCCAGCGGATCGACGTGCCGCGCGGACCTAAATTAGACCTCGCCATTCTTGGGGAGGGGATGCGATTTGCAAAATTGCCGCCACTTTCGAAGGCTGCTGGTGGGTCCAGCACAGAGACGTGGCCGCAGGTCCCCGAGACTTGGCCGCGCGAATGCGGGCGTGCAGCTCCCGCGCTGCACGGTGCAGGAAGGAAGCGGAGAATTTGGCGGGCAAGGTCGGCCTCGCTCGTTGCCTTGCATTAGTTCCGAACAGCTGATCCTGTGGAACGCCAGAGCGGCATGGCGCGGGCCGCGTTGCTTGTCCTGCATGCCACTGGCAAATGACCGCCGCCCTTGTTCCTCGTCCTGCTTACATGGGTGTCGTCTTCTTCCAATTTCGCCGTATCCCTGCTGCTGTCGCGTGAACTGTTCGGCCCCTCCGTCCGTCCTTGGCTTGCCCATCGTTCCCACCCCCACGTCGTCTCCGAGCCTGGGGCCTCGGCCCTCGTCCGTGTGTGCCGCCTCAGGAGTCGCGCAACGCGCGCGCTTCCCATTTAGTTTGCACAACCAGTGCCAGATCATGCGTCGTGATGTGCCAAACTATTGGGGAGTAGCTCCTCTTCGTCGTTGAGTTCAAATCGGTGGGGTACGTGGCACGATGACTCCCGAAGGGGCGGCACCGCCATGCGAAGTTTGCCACGTGGCCCTCCGGTGGAGCTCCCTATGGGGCCGAAATGAGGCGGCGAAAGGAGGCGTCGAGATGAGGCGCCGAAATGAGGCAGCCCACGATCCGTGTGATGGGTGCGCCGAAATGAGGCGGCGCCGCCACGCGAACTTCGCCATCCTCCGGTGGAGCCCCTTTATGAAGCCACGAAACGTGTGAAGGGTGCACCGACTTAGGGCGGCGCCGCCATGCGAATTGTGCCAGTGGGGCCTTCGGTGGAGCCCCTTATGGGGCCACGAAACGTGTGAGGGGTGCGGCGACATAAGGCCATGCCGCCATACGAACGTTCCAAGTGGTGCCTTCGGTGGGTCTCCCTCTGGGGCCGCGAATCGTGTGAGGAATGCGCAATTTGTCTTAACCCTCCTGCGTTGAGTTCTCGTTTTCGCTGGTGCATTGCACGCGCGTCTCCCCATTGCGCCGCATGCGAATTTATCAGCGCCGCCATGCGAATGGGCCGGCGCCGCCATGCGAATTTTGCCACGAAGGGGGTTTGTGGAGCTTCATATGGGGCCGCGACGCGTGTGAGGAGTTCGCAAGTTGTCCCAATCTTCCTGCGTTGGGCTTTCGTTTTGAATAGAACACTGCGTTCGTGGATCTCCCCATGGGGCCACGAACCGTGTGACGGGTGCGCCAAAGTGGGGCGGCGCCGCCATGCAAACATTGCCGTTTGGGTTTTCGGTAGGGTTGATTTTGTTTGAAGCCATCAACCGTGTGGTGTGAGGCGTGCGCCAAAATTTGGCGGGCCGTCTTGCGAAATTTGCCGTTGGGACCTGGGGTCCCCTATGGGGCCAAAAACCGTGTGTGGGGTGGCCCAAACTGGGGCAGTACCGCCATGCGAACTTTGCCAGTGGGGCATTCGGTAGGGCGTCGCCGCCATGCGAACTTGGCAATTGGGGCCGTCGGTGGGTCTCCCCATGGGGCCACGAACCGTGTGAGGAGTGCCCCGAAGTGGAGCGGCGCCGCCATGCGAACTTTGCCATTGGGGCCTTCGGTGGGGCTCCTTCTGGGACCACGAAAGGGGTGCGCCAAAATGGGGCGGCGGCGCCATGCGAAGCCTGTCATTGGGGCCTTCGGTGGATCCTCCCATGGGACCACGAACCGTGTGAGAGGTGGAGCGCCGCCACGCGAATTTTGCCATTGGGGCCGCCAGTGGATGTCCCCACGAGGCCACAACTCGTACGAGGGGTGCGCCAAACTGGGACGGCTGCGCCGCCATGCAAACTTTGCCAGTGGGGCTTTCAGTGCAGTTTCCTTACGGGGCCACGAACAATACGAGCGTGCGCCAAATTGGAACGGCGCCGCCACTTTGCCATAGGCCGTAGGGGCCTGGAGCCACGTTTATGGGGTCACGAACCGTATGCTGGATGGCCGAAAATGGGGCGGCGCCGCCGTGCGAACCATGCCATTGGAGCCTTCGGTGGATCTCCCCGTGGGGCCACGAAGGGTGTGAGGAGTGCGCCAAAACGGAGCGGCACCGCCATGCGAACCTTGCCGTTGGGGCCTCCTGGGTCACGAACAGTGTTCGGGGTGCACCAAAATGAAACGGCACCGCCGAGTACACTTTGCAATTGGGGCCATCGGTGGGGCCCCCTATGGGGTCACGAACCGTGCGAGAGGTGCGCCACAATGGGGCGGCGCCGGCATGCGAATTTTGCCAATTTGGCCGTCGGTGGATGTCACCATGGGGCCACGAACCGTGTGAGTGGTGCGCCAAAATGGACTGGCGCCGCCATGCGAACTTTGCCAGTGGAGCCTGTTGAGCCCTCTTACTGGGCCGCGAAACGTGCGAGGGGCGCGCTGAAACCTGACTGGTGCAGAGAAGGCAGAGGCAGGGATGGGAGGAGGGGCGAGGGGGAGGAGGACAGAAGGAGGAGGAGATAATGAGGACGCGGGGCGTTGTTTTTTTTTTTTTTTTTTTTCAAAACGAGGACCTAGCACCACATGATGGTTGGGATGGTATTGCAACATGAATGTTCCAGAAAATCTGCGTGCGCGCGCTCTTCCGAACTCTTTTCGAAACCCACCGGCTGTTTTTCAGCATGCCCATCAACTGCGACCAAGCGGGCCTCTCGCGCGCGCACGCCAGAATCACTTGAACACCTCTGCGCGCTTTCTTAGGGGGCACACTCCCTGCCAGAGAATACCACGCGGGCCGTTCGCGCCCGTCGGCCGCGCGCGCGCACGTCGACACCTTTCCGAAACCCTCATCACCGACGCGTGGACACCGTCATCGTCATGAGCTTGCTCGGCATCGGCGCCGTCGTTGGCCTTGCCGTCATCATCGTCACCAACATCAATCATCGTGTTTGCCCTTTGTCGACGTCGCCATGATACCGCGCCCGCCCAAGTCACCGACTCGCACTGAAGCGCCCCCGCGCCAGCGCGGCCTGCGAGACGCGCTTGGAAGTCCCCAGTGTTCAGCGCCACCGCGGCCGCGTCGGCGGCGCCAGGCTAGTTGGCCGCTCTGCGCGCGACTTACGCGCGCTAGCGCTGCCGCAGCGACGCGCCAGTCAGCGCCAAGCAGTCATCGCATTCGCCGCCGCATGGATTGTACAAACTTTGTTGCGGGTGGGTCGGTGGGGTTATTGCGCGAGCAGTGAAGTTGTCAGCGTTAAGCCTGGCAGGGCGAAGTGCACCATATTGCACCACCTGGCTTCCACCAAATAGATTCTCCTTATCTAAAATAGCATTAGGGTCTACCCTACCGCCCCGGAATTATCTTCCCCCTTAGGGATGTGCAACTTAAATACGGTTCTGGC